AGAAGTTTGGAACCAAGGTATGCAAACTAAAGAGGTCTCTATATGGTCTTAAACAGTCTCCCAGAGCTTAGTTTGAGAGATTTACAAAGTTTGTTAAGAACCAAGGATATACACAGGGACAATTGGATCACACTCTCTTTACAAAGAAGTCTACCAAAGACAAGGTGTCTGTCTTGATTGTCTATGTGGATGATATAATTCTAACTGGAGATGATTTAGAAGAGATGAGCAGACTAAAGCAAAGCCTAGCCAAGGAATTTGAGATTATAGATCTAGGCCAACTAAAATACTTTCTTGGAATGGAAGTGGCAAGATCAAAAAAGGGCATGTGGTTTCGCAGTGGAAGTATATTCTAGATCTCTTGAAAGAAACTGGAATGAGTGGTTGCAAACCTTCAGATACTCCAATAAAAGCTAATGCCAAACTTGGAGATGTAAAAGATGGTGTCCCGGTAGACACAGGGAGATACCAAAGATTGGTTGGGAGATTGATCTACTTGTCACATACACGTCCTGACATTGCTTTTGCTGTGAGCATGGTAAGTCAGTTTATGCATTCCCCATATGAAGAACATCTGGAAGTTGTGTATCGAACTCTTCGTTACCTGAAAAGCACACCCGGAAAAGGACTCTTCTTCAAGAAAAATGAGAAGAGAGGAATTGAGGTGTCTACAGATGGTGATTGGGCAGGTTTGGTCACTGATAGAAGGTCAACATCAGGCTACTGTACATTTCTTTGGGGCAATTTAGTCACTTGGAGAAGCAAGAAGCAAAGCATAGTCGCTAGAAGTAGTGCTGAGGCAGAATTTAGATCAATGGCTCAAGGAGTTTGTGAGGTTCTTTGGCTAAAAATAGTTTTGGAAAAGCTTAAGAGACCGATAAGTTTTCCTATGAAATTGTATTGTGACAACAAAGCGGCGATCAGTATTGCTCATAATCCAGTTCTACATGACAGGACGAAACATGTTGAGATTGATAGACACTTTATAAAAGAAACGCTTGAAGAATGAATAATTTGTACTCCATTTGTACCCACCACACAGCAAGTTGCAAATGTTTTGACTAAGGGCCTGTTGAGACAGCCATTTGAGTTTCAAGTGAGCAAGTTGGGCATGATTGACATCTTTGCACCAACTTGAGGGAGAGTGTCGGTAAATCAGGAATGTTAGGTTAGGATTTGTTTTTTGAATAAATTAGGAAAGAATCAAGTAATAGAATAAAATTCCTGATTATGTGGGATCCTAGGGTTAGCCGTGTATGGTCCTTTTTCCTATTTAAATGTGTTTTGTTCTTCTGGAATTAATAAGATGAATCAGAGAGTAATTCTCTCTTTCCGTCCTCTGTGTTTTCCTATATCTCGCTTCCTTCTTGAGTTTGATTCTGTAATGGCACAAAGGGTTGATCCGAATTTTCATTATTTGAGACATCTCCCTCTTCAATGTTTACCATGATTTCAGATTCCTTGTTAATGGTTTCGGATTCATCAGTTTCAGTTTTCTTAGGTAAAAAATCTTCCAATAACCAATTAAAAGTCGAATCTTCACTAGATGTCTCCCCTGATGAGGCGCCATGAAGAAAGGTTTATTTTCAAAGAAGGTTACATCCATGGATATAAAAAAAATTTTGGATGTTGAATCAAAACATTTGTAACCTTTTTGATTTGAAGGATAACCAACAAACACACATTTTCTTGCCCTTGGATCAAGTTTTCCTCTATTGGTATCATGAATGTGAACAAATGCAGTGCAACCAAACACTTTAAGGGGAAGATCATATGAAAGCTGAGAGGAAGGAAAGCATTTCTAAAAGCAATTCAAAGGGGTTTGAAATTTCAAAACTTTTGAAGGCATTCTATTGATCAAATATGTGGATGTTAGGACCGCTTCACCCCATAAATATGTAGGAACATTGTTGGAGAGCATTAAAGACCTAGTTACCTCTCGAAGATGTTTATTTCTCTTCTCAGCTACTCCATTTTGTTGTGGAATATTGTTGCAAGAACTTTGGTGAATAACACCATTTTCCACAAAAAAATCCCTTAAAATCTCATTGAAATATTCTTTTCCATTGTCACTTCTGAAGACTTGAACCCGTGTTTGAAATTGTGTTTGAATCATTTTATAAAAATTTTTAAACACACTCTCAGCCTCTGCTTTTTCATGAAGTAAAAACACCCATGTAAGCCGAGTATGGTCATCAATGAAAGTTATGAACCATCTTTTTCCAGTTATTGTTTTTATTCTTGAAGGTCCCCACACATCACTATGAATTATAGTAAAAGGTTTTGTGGCCTTATAGGGTTGTGCTGGAAAGTAAGATCGACGGTGTTTAGCAAGTTCACAAATTTCACATTGAAATGAGGATGGATTTTTATTCAAAAAATACTTGGGAAACATATGTCTCATATAATAGAAACTTGGATGTCCTAACCTAAAATGCCATAACATAATCTCATTCTCACTAGGAATTGAAATAGAATTGAGACAAGTTTTCTGGGATTGCCTACTCAAGTCATATCCATCTTCAAAGAGATATAAACCTTCAACTTGCTTAGCATTGCCAATCATCTTCTCCGTGGTCAAATCCTGAAAATGACAACCGGAAGAAAAAAAGTTAGCCTGATAGTTTTGATCGATGGTTAATTTACTGACTGATACTAGATTACAAGACAACTTGGGAACATGAAGAACATTATTGAGTGTCAAAGAAGGAGAAACAACAATTGATCCTTTCCCGGCCACTACTGAGAAAGAACCATCAGCTATTTTTACTCTTTGATTTCCTGCACAAGGGTTATATGAAGAAAACAGTTTTGACGAACCGATCATATGATCCATTGCTCCGGAATCGATTATCCACAATCTTTTGAATTGACACTAAAACAAGACGCTACTAGATGATTACCTTTCTGAACCAAAGAACAAGAAGGGTTTGAGTTATTGAAATTTTGAGACTGGAGAATTTTACAGATTTGCTCTATCTGCTCCTTTGTGATCGGGCTGCACTCCAGGGGAAGTTTCGGGCCTTGATTCTGAAATATTAGCTTGAGGCACAGTTATCTCCAAATGGTTTTTTCTTCCAATTATTTGGTTTACCATGGATTTTCCAACATGTCTCCCGAGTATGCCATGGTCGTTTACAGTAATCACACCAAGGCTTTGTTTTGCCATTCTTCTTCTCTCCCTCGGCCTCAGTTCCTCTGGATACAAGAGCAGAGCCTTCCACCTCCGGTTCACTCTTCCCAATCATCACTTTTCGTCTCATCTCTTCTCTCCTAACTTTAGAAAACACTTCTCGAATGGATGGCAAAGGCTTTCTTCCCAAAATTCTGCCTCTAACTTTATCCAACTCTTGGTTTAGACCTGCAAGAAAGACATAAACACGATCGTTTTCTTCCCTCTTCTTGTACCGGATGCTATCATTCGGACACTCCCACTCGTCTTCATAACAAAGGTCTAATTCCTGCCATAGGAGAACACAATAGCATCTCTATCTCCTTGTTTGGCCTTCCATAGCTTGGTTTTCAACTCAAATATCTGAGAAGAATTCTCAATATCTGAGTACATCTCCCTTACTGCCTCCCATATTTCCTTGGTTGTCGGCAGAAACATGAGGTTTTCCAATGGCTGGTTCCATTGAGTTAATTAACCAGGCCATGACTAGGGAGTTCTCAGACCTCCAAGTTGCCATATTCCGATCACCTGCAACCGGCCTAGTAATTTCTTCAGTCAAATAACCGAGTTTACCTCTACCATCAATAGCAAGTTTCACCGATTGAGCCCACTCCGGGTAGTTCCGGCCATTTAATTTATGGCTGGTCAATTAGAAGGGCACGTTTGGACTGAAGAAATCTTCGGCACTGTTCTTTGATCCGCCATTAGCCGCTGGCCCTCTTGCTCCTGATTGCACATTCTCGGTTGAAGTCCCATCACTCGTAGCACTCGAGCCATCACCAGCAGCGGAGGAATCCCTTTTTTGGCTGGTCATTGCCAGTCTATAATTCATTTAGGTTGCAGAAAAAAAAAATTTGACATAAAGGGGTGAACGGCTGCAGGAGGAAGGAAGGAAAAAATTCAAGGAAAGAGCCGAGGCTCTGATACCATGTAAGAATTAGGCAAGGAGAAGAATAATCTTTATTCTTTTTGTCTTATTTCAAAGAAAAACGTATAGGGATTATATAGGCCAAGGAGGCCGAATTTCAAGAAAGTGATTGTATTTCGAAAGTTCTCCCTCGACGGTTCAAGAAACAATAGTGCGTCATCTGCAAATTGAAGATGGGAAACATGAATACTCTCACTGTCTACCCTAAATCCCTTGATTAAATCTAGTTCCCCAGCCTTTTCCATTAGTCTACTTAACCCATCCACCACCAAAGTGAAAAGAAAAGGAGAAAGTGGGCCTCCTCGTCTTAATCCTCGTGAAGCTCCAAATCTACCTCTCGGTTTACCATTAACCAAAATGGAAAAATTAGCCGTACTAATACAACCCACAATCCGGCTAATCCATTTCTGTCCAAAACCCTTCTTTTCCATCACTTGCCTTAGAAAATTCCAATTGACAATTAAATAGGAAGATTATTAATAACAAAACCGAACTACCCAAGTTTCACATTCTGTGAAAAATTCCAATTTCAAGAAGTTGGATGACGTAGGACACAAGCAATAGTCAATAATTTTTAGATTTATTTGTTTTCTACTTCATATTTTTCTTTTTCATTTACTAGGTTTCCCGTTTGATTTAGTTTCCCGTTTCTAGCCTAAATTTGTCTATTCAAACCCCAAATTCTCTAGTTTGAGACAAGTCATCAATAATCTTATCAAAGTTTCATACAAATTCCTTCTAAGTTACTCCAATTTTCGTGTTTATTTCAAAACACAAATCCGCTTCATCATTGGAGATCATTGACAATGCAAAAGAAAATTCTTCATCAATTTACTTTTTTTTTTTAAATACTAATCTACAAATTGAATGTATACTAGGCGTGTATATACAAGACAATACCTTGAGAGAATGGGGAGGATAGTAAATTCCAGCATGGATGACCTCGCTGTTGCGAGAGGTATTTCCGGTGCCGAAGGTCGGAGCGGAGTCGAGAACGAGGACCTCTCTGCCTCTAAGCGCCAGCTCTCTCGCCACCGCCGTTCCCACCACGCCCGCCCCAATCACCACGCACTCCACTCTCTCCTTCGGAACCTCCGTCCCCAAACTCCTCGTCCGCCACGACCGCCATCCCAGATTTCTCCTTGCGCCACCAACGCCTTCAAGGGCGCGCTTCAGCATCCTCGTCGCGAGGGTCCACCTTTGTTGCTAAAGAAAAGGTTCGAAGGCGTGTACGGATTATCCAATAACAAGAAAAATGTGCAAAATTTTCTCTTGTTTTCTGATTTTGTGGATCATTTACCAGCGGTGGTAGTGGGACGGCCACGAAAGGTGATTTATCTCCTTTACCTAGAATCGAATTGATTTGATACTTGCATCTCATCGGTTTATGGAATATGGCTTTGACCTTATATGACTTCGAATTCTTTTAAAGGTATCTGCTCTTACAGTAGATTGTCAAATTCCGTTAAACTTTGAAGGGTTCGTTCATTTAGAATTTAACTTGAATATAATTCTTGAGTTAAATTTAAGTTATAATTTGAGTTAAACTTATAATTTGAGTTTGTATTTAGTTGTGTAGATTTGAGTTATGATTTAATATAATAATCTTTTTGAGTTTGTATTTGAGTGAGTCAAAACTTGAATTTATATTTAGATAGTATTTTAATAAAAACTCAATGCTGATAAAAAATTTTAATATGGTATATGGGTCTAGTTTTATTCGTCTTTTCGTTATCAACGCATAGAAAAAAAATCATCTCAATCAGAATTAAAACGAAAAAGTTATAGCATTTTTAAGAATAGAAAAAATATTGTTTATTAATTTGAATTCGAGTTTCTGAACTCGAGTTGAAAGGGAAACTTGAACTCGAGTTTTAGTCCTAAACTCAAGTTTGAACTTGAGTTTAAACTTAAAAGAACATGAACTCGAATAAAGTTGTAACTCGAGTTACATTTTTTTTAGTTTTTCGCTCAAAAGAACAAGCCCTAAGTGTCTTAAGGATGTTCGTCGGTGAAAACCGACAGTCTTAGTCAGTTTGGTGGTCAAACTAATTATTTCAATTTTTTAAAATTATACACTGAAATCGAACCGCATAAAAAAATAGTTAGTTCAGTTAACCGAATTTTAACTTTCAGTTGGTTTTCAATTGGTTTTTAATTTTGGTAATCAAGAAGGTAGTTATTAGTTAATCATTAGACTGCTAATATCTTTAGTTGTATTTTTTTATCAGAAAATCTAAAAAAATGTAAAACTTTCCTTCTATGCAAATATATAATCACAATAAATGAAAACAAATCACAACATCCAAATTGATAATACCACAAACACAAAATGTCTAAATCCAATATCCAAAATCTAAAGTACAAACTAGAAAGTCACAATAAACAATACTAATGTTCAAAGTCCATAACATAAGTGTATAAAACATCTAAATTGGCATAAGAAATTAAAAAGTCCAAAGCATAATTAAAAAGTTCAACTTTAAGTAGTGAAGTTCATTTCCAACTTCTCATATTCCTCCTATTCCCCTTCATCCTCATTCAAATCCAAATCTAAATCCATTATATCATCATATGTAGCGCTACATTAGAAAATTGAAATTAAGTAAATGAAATTGAATAGATAATGAAAAAAAAAGAAATAAATATAATTCTAATTATCTTAATTCTGCTTCATTTACTTAAGTGCTTCCTCTCATTGAACATGTTAGAGTAGAAACAACTTTACTATCATCTACAAGAAAATTAGAAATTAATTTACATATTACAAGAAATGAATAAAAAAGATATAATTACAAGTATATGTAGTATGTACAATCATGATTAGTATTATCTGAGACAATATGATAGCAATCTGCAAAAGATTCAACCTCATCCATATATTATATAAGAACCACGAATTCATATTCTTCATCCTTCATGTTCAACCAATTTTTCAAGCAAATAAGTGCTTCCACCATCCTAGGCGCCAATGAACTCCTAAAAGAATCAAGAATGCGATGACCGAAAGAAAAAGCTGATTCAGATGCAACCATCGAAACCGGAACTGCAAGCACATCTCTAGCAATTTGGGACAATACCTTATACCTATGAGCATTGACTTTCCACCAACCTAGGATGTCAAAACTGTCATTCACTAGCTCTTCACATTACTCAGATAAATACTTATCCACATCATTTCTTCTACACATTTACACCATCCCCGCTCATCTTTTGCATTCTAAACATGGCCTCTATCTCATCATCAATAACCGGCATTGACGTGGGTTCACTAGAGGTCGTAATTGTTGAACGACTTGAAGTAGAACTAGAAGAAGTTTCTGATGAGTGAGCTGACCTTGTATTTCTAAATCGAGGTTTAGCCGGATGTGATAATTGTGGTTGGCCAACGGTAGAGTTAGAGGGGGCAACAAGGAGCTAAAGGTGGAGAAGGAGCCCGATCGTGATATTCCTTATATAATCTACGCAATGTGTCCTCAACCCTGCTTAACAATGTGGCAGATGTCAAATCATCATAGATACACTTGAAGGCAAGAGCAAGATAATCCAACGTATATCTTTGATCAAGAACAAAGCCAAGAAACATCATGTGATTCATTTTCTCGACATTTCTCCAATACTTATCAAACTTTTTATTCATCATCGTTGCCATTTCATTCAAAAGATGACCATCACACTCCTCTAACTTAATCAACTCTCATTTGACAGCACAAATATCTTTGAAATAGAAGTTTGTCTCTTTGTACCTTCTCCACTATATCTCGACCTAGAGCTACCCCTCGACCAGGTCGACATCGATGGGTCATCTCTGGAACTATAAAAAAATAAAAATAACGAAATTTGATTATATAGAGTTCGACGAATAAAAAACAACGTTCATGTGTTATACATATAACACCTGACTGACAATGTGTCAGGAGTCTCATCGAATCGGGTGGAGGCTGTGATCCTTCTGCAGAGCCGGCACATGTAGCTATTGGGCCAGACATCGTGACTCCGTATCGTATAAAAAAATAAAATTTTATTAGCTACTTCATTTTTTACGCAATTGCTTAACAAATATATAAAAAGAAGTCATGAATATAAATTAACTGTTTCTATTGGAAAACTCTTATGGTTTAAACACCTCCGACAAGGACAACTTGTGCAACTACTTTCATCAACATGGTCTTTGGCAATGTTGATAAAAACAGATATCCCTTCCCAATACTAATCAGACAGCCGGTTTTTTAAATGTATCCAACTCTTGTCCATTGGAATCTTAACTATAAAAACAATAACACATTCAATCATAGTTCATGTTTTTTGTGACTATATAGTCACGTTCACCAAGAAAGTTTTATAGTTCATGTTTCAACTTTATAAAGTTTTATCAATTTTTATGAATAATTTATCCTATAATTATTGCACTCATAATGTTTATAATTAATTTTTAATTTACTTTCTATTAATATAATTAAATCTTATTAATGAAATTCTTAAAATTAATAGGTTTTAATAAAATTTCGGCAGCATAACGACTTATTTTTCTTATTATCCAAAAATCTAAACCTACAAAAAAATAACTTTTAAAAGATTTCGGCACACCATAACTGCAAGATGTGCCACCCAGAACAATCATCAAAATTTTAATCTTAACCTAAATCAAATTAGAAGCATATTTCAAAAAATAACACCCTAAGAGATTCACACACACTTATACCAAATTTCAACAATCTCAAAATTCATAATCCAAATTTCAAATTATATACTAATTCTAAAAACTATAATCTATAATACAAAATTCAAACAACAAAAAACCCAAACATTTTAAACTAAAAAAAATACAATAAATATGCAAAAACTTACAAAATTCAAATCCACTAAAATGGGGGCTGAAAACGGTAAAATTAGGTGGGGCAAACGGCAGTGGCGGATGTCAGCGCAGGTGAAATTTGGCGGCAAGGGCATGGAGTTTGTTTTTTATACTTTTTTATGAAAAAACAATTAAAATGATTAAAACTTATGATAAATTTTTTGCGACGACAAACGAGAGTGTCGTCGCAAATATAACTTAATTATTTAATATTTATAACGAAAGTTTTGGAATTATTATTTACGACGACAATGTGCACTGTCGTTGCAATTAGTTTTTGGGAACAACCCAATTTCCCCGCCGTTTATTTTCACGAGGGAATACAAAATAATCATTTGCGATGACATATATTAATGTCGTCGCAAATAATTTTTGGGAACCGCCAAATAGATCACCTTTTTACCTGGGGGACAATAAATAAATGAATTATTTTTTACGACGACACATGTCGTTGCAAATAATTCCTTATTTGCGACGACAGATCATCGCAAATAATGTTATTTTGGCGGAAAATATTGGCGCCAGACAACATTTGCCGCCAACTACATATTTGCGACGACACTGTTCTCCTGTTAAACAAAAAGTATTTATGACGTTATGTCGTCGTAAATAGTTAATTATTTGCGACGACAAATGTCGTCACAAATTGGGCAAATTGTAGTAGTGAAAGTTATTTTACTATAAACTTAGAATTGCACTCTTGATATTATAGATATTTGTTTACATTTGTGAAACGTCCATTTGATATATCCACTTCATATAGATTGATACTCCATAAATAATTCATAATTAAAACTAAGTGAAATCCAATAAGCTCTCTAATTGTATCTATACCCTGTACCATTGATTCTCTAATGGATAGTGATTCACAAAACAAATTCATGAATCAGAGCTCCTACTAATCCAAGTACCGAATCAACTCTCAAGAGAATTATTTACCTACTTTTTTCTCAAAAAACTAGATTCCATCTCGTATATTAAAATTTTCAGTTACTCACTTTATCATGTCTCCAAGATATAAGAAATAAGATTTAGTAATCTCAAAATTCTTACTGAGTAAGTCAAAAAATATGAATCCACAAATAGGAGTATGGTAATAACTCAGGATTAAGATCATTCTATATATGACCATCAATAGACTCAATTAGGATTTCTATACTTAACGAAAATTATCAGAAATTCATATTGTGTCATTTCTCAGTCCTACATAATCTCATTATATAAAATACACTAATTTAATATCCCTCCACATCAATGGTATGGTTAAACTCTTTCATTCTTAATAGGAATGACATGTATTAATAATATTTAATTAAAGATTCAGAACTTTAATTAACTTCATTATGAACTTGTTTCGATTATTATCTTTAAATATTATATTGTAGTATATTACACTTATATACAATATTTAATGTCACATAAATAATCGTAGAATTTTCAATGATATTCATAAAGTATACTAAATACATGCACATAAATAATGAAATTTCTCTTTTATAAACAAATAATAATATCTTTTATTACATTCTAAGTTTTTAGGACACTATTCACAACAATTTTGGCTTTCTAAGATTATATTGTTTTAGATTTACGTTTATGATGTTGTCTAAATTTGTGTTTGTGATTTTTGTTCATTTAAGTTTGTGATTTTGTTCATCCAAATATGCCATTTAGTGTAGATTTATGGTCGTGATTTTCCAATGAGTTTATGATTTTTGTGTTGATTTGAGTTTGTGCTTTTCGGATTTGTCTTAGTTCGTGATTTTTGTATATTTGTGTCTATCTTGCGTTTTGAGTTTTTTGCATGTAAATCTATGGATTTACTCGGATTATTTACTGGTAAATCCCGGATTTACGGGATATAAGATTGAAATTAATTATGTATTTATGTATAAATATAATATTTATTAGATTAAAATTTGAGAGAACTTAAGTATTTATGTATTTATTATAAGAACAAAAAATAATTTATATGTACATGTAAATATAATATTTACAATATACAAGATTAATGCAGTATTTTCTCATAAATAGTGATTTACCGGTGGTCGGATTTCTGGATAAATATGAGATTTATCATTTACAATCACATTTATGAATAAATACGGTATTCATTGGTCGACAGTGACAACAATTATATTTTCAAATATATGCGATATTTATTGGCCATCGGCGGCCGATTTTTGGGTAAATATGGTTATTGAATGGATCATTGGGTAAATGCGGTTATCCAGGTAAATACGATATTTATTGATCGTCGATACCAACAAACAGATTTTTGGGTAAATACTGTATTTCTAAGTCAATATTGTATTTACAGGTACATATGATATTTATTGACTGTCGATAATTGTATTTACGGGAAATATGATATTTACCGGTCATTGACGACGTTTGCCGGCGGCCAATATTTTCGAGTAAATATGATTTTACGGTTAAGTATGGTATTTTGTGTAAGTATAGTATTTTTGTTATTCTGATATGTACCGTATTTACCGGTCGCTTAGTGAATCTCACTAGAGATGGGGAAAGAGAGAGATATAGAGAGAAAAAAAAAGCTGAGAGTATTTTTAGGTGTTTAATAGTATTGAAAAGCTTAAAATATTAAATTATGCTATAATTTACCTATTTTAAAAATTATATTATAATTTATTGAGTACCCAAACAAAAATGCTATTTCACTCGTTCTCCTGCTACATCTAACCTCCAAACTTTATGATTTTTTATCTTTATATTGTAACCTAAAATATGCATTTATTTCCCTCGCTCTTCCTAATTTTTCTATAAATTTAGCTCTACGTGTTGAGTTGGCAGAAAAAGACATGTAGATCGAAATTTTGTTTCATTTAACCAGGGTGGGTGTGGATGATCATGAGACGCGAGCTAACTAATAACCAAAATAAATTGGAATTCATTATTAGCAAAAAGGGGGAAAAAAAAAACTTGAACTCAGAGAGAGAGTGTAAAAGGGGAGAAAAATAAAAAAAATATCCATTCAGTTTTGTCTAAATACAACTTTTATCTCTGAATATTTTAAAATCAAAAAAGTATCTCTGTGTTTTTAAAACACAAACAAAAAGCATTCATTTTTTTTAAAATTTTTTTATTTAATTTTTTTTTAAAAAAATAGCCAAATTGTTCTTAAATATTTCATATATTATTTAAATTTGTGATGGGCTACACCAGGTTCTAAACACTCCTTTTAAATTTTTTTTTCTTTTTTATTTGAAGCGACTCTCTTAGGAAATTTACAGCATCAATTTGAATAATTTTTTTTTTCAATTTTAATAAGGAAGTAAAATCTTAAAACAAAAAAAGATGTAAAATTTTTGTCGTGTAGTAGTATTGAGCGATTCTAGCAAGTTGGTTTATTACACACTACAAAATACACTTTCACCCTAAATTGGTAAATAAATTTATCGTGTTTTGCCAAATAGAATTTCAAAAAAAAAAAAAAAAGAATTACATCTCATTTATTTTAAAAAAAGATTTTATTTTCTTATTAAAATGAAAAAAAGTAACAAAAAAAAACGTTTAAATTAGTGCTGTAAATTTTCTAACAGGTTCACTTAAAAAAATCTAAGAGGGATGTTTGGAAGTTAGTATAACTAAATACAAATTTAGACGGTATATGAAATATTTAAGGATAATTTGTTTATTTAAAAAAAATTAAACATAAAAAATTAAAAGAAGGATACTTTTTGGATTTTAAAAAATTTAGGGGTGAAAGTTATATTTATTCAAAACTAAAGAGATACTTTTAAATTTTCTCGTTTGAGGAAGTTTTAAAACCATTGGCAAAAAAAAAAAAAAAAGCTGAAATTATCTCAAATCTCAACGACAACGAGAATATTCTGTAGTCGTTTTAATAAGTTAATATGACAAGAGAGACAAGTCGTTCATCGGTACGGTCATGAGCGCGAATATAGAACTATTATTTCCAGGAAAAAATAAATAAATAAATAAAGGCAGTGAGAAAGAGAGAGACGTGTAATGCAATGAAGTCAATAGTTGCTTCTGTTTATTGGTTTTCGAGCTTATGAAACAATGAATGTTTCCGTTATGAATTTAAGGCCCGTTTAAAATTAATTTCATTTTTTTATGGGTGCGTTTAGAATTAGTTTCAAAATATTTTTATTTTTTGTATGAAAATGAAAACGAAAATGTTTTTATTTTTATTTTGAAATCATTTCTGAAAATGCGTTTGGTAGTTTTATTCTGAGATTGTTTTCAGTTAAAAAAAAACTGAAATTGTGTTTGGTGGTTTAATTTTAAAAACATGTAATAAAATATTTAAAATTAAAATATATTAAATAAATAATAAAACTCTGAAATCCATTTCGCCCCGTCTCTATACAAAACAATCAGAAACTCCAAAACTCCAAACAAAATTCAAGAAGCCAAATAAAACTCCAATGTCCAAACAAACCACATAGGAGGCTCTCTCTCAATCTCACTCTCTCCGCCGTCTTTGCTTAGATTCGTCGACAACTTCCCCGCAACCGCCATTTTACTCTCCGATTCCTCTCTCTCCCTGTACCAATTCCAATTCCAATTCCAGATTCGATCATCAAACATTTCATTGATATCATATTCATATATTGATTGATTACAACTTACATATAACAGCCTGAAATCCAAATTCCAATCGGAGCCAAACGGAAATTTGCAGATGTTTGTAAACTCATCATCCCACGCGACGGCTTCTCCTCGGCGGAATCCTGATCTCCTGGCGGTGAAATTCCTCTACCTCTGCCACGATCTCCGGTGGAAGAACGGAACCAATTTCAGTCTGGGCTTGTTATTGTCAGGGCCTCTCCATTTGACCTCAAGTGCCATAGCTTTCTCTCTCTCCTCCAGTTCACACTCGAAACCTCAAAGCTCCAATCGGCTCACCTTCACCTAGAGCTTCTTTGTTTCTCCTCCGCTTTTTATGCTCTGCCATGGTGACCACTTCATGCTCTGCCATGGCGACCACTTCATGCTCGAGAAGAAGTTCCGATCTTAGCGATTCAAGACTTCTTCAGAGACGCTTTGAACCGAACCATATCTGAGAAATAGAAATAGAGAGAGAGAGAGGGAGAGAGAGAGAGAGCTATGGAGATTTGGAGAAATGTTGGATTTGCTTCTGAGCTGCGCGGAGAAGAGAGAGAAGAATGAAGGGAGAAAATGAAAAGGAAAACGAAAAACGGATTTAATCCGTTTTCAGATTTTCAGAAAACGACAAAAATGTTTTTGTTTTTATTTTTTTAAAAATTTTACGCCAAACGCGTTTTACGTGGGCAATATGCTAGAATGACTATCCAACAAAGTGAAATTAGCAAAATGACCTTCTTCTATTTTTTATGAAGAAAGACACTTACTCATTCTTTGTAAAAAGATGTCATTTTGCAAATAAAAATTTTTGAAAAGTTATTTTACTAATAAAACTTTTCAAAAGAGTTATTTTTACAAAGGCGTTTTACGTATACGTTTTCATTTTTTAACCTCGAAAAACATAAAAAATGAAAACAAAAACAAAAACAAACGCACCCTATGTTTTTTAAGGAAAAAAAAGTTTTTAAAACGGCGTTCGACGTAATAAAGATAAAAAACAGAAATGAAAACGATTTTTTAGTTTAGTGTAAAATAAAAAAGAAATGAAAAAATGACTTTTATTCATTTTTTATTTTTTATTTTCGTTTTCTCCTCTCTCGAGCAGAAAGAGAAATAGAGACATTAATAAGTTTTTTTATACTGAAAATAATCTCTTGATAAAATTACAAAATGCATTTTTAAAAATGATTTTTGTTTGAAATTGAAAACGTTTTCATTTTTATATAAAAAATAAAATCATTTTAAAACGAGTTTTAAACGCGCCTTAAATTTTACATTTGAAATTTAAATTTCTTATGAAAAAAATACTATAACCTATTAATTTAAACACACGAAATAAATAAAGCATCGTTCGCTTTGCAGATTTAAATTTTTAATTTGAATTGAAATGTAATATTTTTTAAAAATTTTTAACTATAACAGAAAAAATTAAATGTAACATCTTTTAAGAATTTTTAACTCCAAAAAATTAGAATTAAAAATTCAAGGAGACCTAAGTCCGAATGTGGTGGCCGTTCATTTTGAACTACAATGGTAATTGGCATTCTTTCTTTCTTTATATATTTTCTTCTTTTTTATTCTCTGTTCATTTAAATTATAATGGGGTTTCTTCCTTTACCTTTTCTTTCTTTAACATTGTTTTTTATTTTTTCCCCATTTAAACGACACAATATGTCTTATTGATGATGACAAGGAACATGCACGGAAACATAATAATTATTAATTAAAAGTTGTTGGTTTGTAACTTGAAGTTGAGTGGTTGGTTTCATTCTTCAATCTGTATCTACAGAAGTGGGTGGTGGCAGTTGGTTCTCGAGTTGTTGTCTTATTGATGATGACAAGGAACATGTACGAAATTATATTGTTTGAAAAGATTCAGATCCCCTTTAGTCAAAAAAAAAAAAAAAACAAAAAAAAAAAAGAAAGAAGGAAGAACTTGGATAATGGCGGAATATAGAGAAGCGTTGGTGAAGCAAGAGGAGAGGATTAGTTATGATGAGAACTGCCCAGGTTGCAAGATTGAAAAGCTTAAGCACTCCAATCCCGGGATTCCTTTCAAGCATTTGTTCTATGTTTTTGTTGTTTGCCTTTCAGCAGGTACAATTTTTTTTCCCCCCTTTTATTGGTCTTTTCCTGCTATCAACTTTTGTTTGCCTTTTCTTCTCTCTCTTTTAATTATTGTGTTTGTTGGTGTTATGGCTTTGTTTTCAATCAATTTACTATTTTGTTTTGTTTTCTTTTGCTTTACTTTCTCTATACATGTAAGAATGATGGATTCATCGAATGTAATGTCTTTTTTTATTATTTTTTTCTTTTTTTCAAGTAACGATGTTTTTGCTGTCATATTCGCATATGTATCCATAACAGTTTCATTATTTCCATAAAACCATGTAGAATAAATTACTAGGCTGAGAGGAAAATGGAACAAGACAATTTTTTGTTGCTAAAGCGCAGTTTAGGCTATTGGTTTTGTGGGCCCACGTGAACGAATGCCTGAGATCATGCCTTCATCAATGCATACAATTATCAGATCCAATTTTCTCCCTTTGATGCCTTTATTGCCTTAGCATTATAGAGGAGGAATAGTACCTAGTTACTTTACAAGTCCTTACTTTCTGAAGGAAACTGGTTGATGCTGTGTACTAATACAATAGTTGCAGAAAATGCTTGTAACAAGATATGGGATTCAAAGATGTAAAATTGGTTTTAGATTTTGGTTTTCTGTGGCTACGATCTCCTCAACCCCGAGGGGCTAGTTTCCATTTTTCGAGCTGTCGAAGTGCTTGAAAAATGCTTTTACACATTAAGCAATAGCTGTTCATCAGCTCATTTTAGCCATAAACTTTAGTTTCCGAGCCAGAAAAGTAATTTGTTTCGCTGTTATAAAATTAAATTTTAGGTTGAGAGTTTTCTTATACTGCAATAGTTTCTTTCTAGTGGAATAATTTTCAGAAAAGCTAAATATTTGTTTTGTCTTCTGCTTGTTCCTTTTACCTTTCTGTTTGTACTGATATTTACCTACGATATGCCTCCTTTGTGGTTAAAATATTGCAGCTTTGCCAATATCATCTCTTTTCCCTTTCCTGTATTTCATGGTGAGTACATTACTGGGTGAACCTTTTAACTTTATATATTTGATGTATCCCGGGGTAAATTATATAATTTCGTACTTTTAATTTTGTTCTATTACTAAGAACTGAAGCTGGGTAAGACTCATTGACTTCCTTTGTCCCAACTTCCAAGTATAATGGACATGATTAAAAAATCTGAGTGGCTGAATTTTGAAATTAGCAAGTACACTTCTCACTCGTTGCATTTTAGAATACCATTGTGCACTTTCCATTTCTTCACTACACGTTTAAAACCTTGATCATTGCTGCTAATTTTATGAACAATGGATGTAATTTGGTGAGAGGTGCTTTTGAGCATGCAGTTACTCTTGTTTATAATCTGTATAGATTTTAAAGATACATGGAGTTATCACAATTTTAATTTCTGCAGATAAGGGATTTTCATATAGCGAAAACGGATGAGGATATTGGTTACTATGTTGGTTTTGTGGGTGAGATCGTGTTTCTTATAATGCCAAAAGTGATCTCTTGAAATAAAAAATTTCTGTTGAAGATTTTTGGTCCTTATATCTGTTGTTCCTTGAAGGATCTGCATTTATGTTCGGGAGATTTTTTACTTCAGTTCTTTGGGGAATGATAGCTGATCGATATGGTCGGAAACCTGTTGTAATTTTTGGCACAATTGCAATGTTAGTACTTCTAACAGTTCTTACCAACCTTGTAACTCCATTGGAAAAATTTTGCATTTCGAAGATAAAATTTCTCATTATATAGTTTCCATCCCTTTCCTTTGCGCGAGCGTGTGTTTTTCCCCCTCTTGTGATAGTGATTATAATGAAGCTAATGACAACCATCTCAGGGTGATTTTCAACACACTTTTTGGGCTTAGTACAAACTTTTGGATGGCACTCTCTGCAAGGTTTCTTCTTGGAAGTTTGTGTGGTATACTTGGCCCAATGAGGGTAAGCTTCTAGTTTTAATGTGATTTCTTTTTTTTTTTTTTTTGTAGAATACAAATTGGAGACATTTGGTTTCATATCTTCTTTGTTATTACTTCAATGCACTCTTTTAAGTTCAGGAGTAAGCTACAGATGTAGAAGTATACCATAGATGTTTCATATATGTTATATTTGGTGAAATCATTCATAAAAACAGGCATTGAAAAGCCAGCTATAGTGGCATACACCACTTTCAATTTTGCAGCAGTCCTGAATGTACGAAATTTGAAATTACGAATAATTGAAGGGCAATTACTTCTGTACTCAGGAAAGCAAAGCATGCTAGTTGATGGGGCCTAAAAAACTTCTGATGCAATCGGCATATGTGACTAATTTTTGTCTTTATTTTATTCTTTCCTTTAAATTAAATATATATATATATATATATATATATATTTTTTTTTTTTTTTTTTTTTTTTTTTTTTTTAATATATATATATATATATATATATATATATATATTGTGTTAGTGTCTATAAGGTAAAGAATAGAAGTGAATTTAACCTTGATGCAACTTGGAGCTTTGGATAGACTTCAATCAAGATAAAGACATTTGGTCATTTATTAACTGTTTTTGGCTTCTGTTTGCATATCCGTAGGTATGCATAGTATGGTAGTTATATGTGTCTTAATCACAAAGTTGTGAGCTTAACTTTGTCCTTTCAGCCAATATTGCATTTTCTAACTGTTACATATTAGTCGTCTGTGTTTTTTATAAGTAAAACAAATTTTGGTTTTGGATCAATGTATGCTAGTTGAATTGATAGCTTGAGGCTTTTTGCAGGAAATTTTTTCATTGTGATGATAATCAACTAGTTAGTTATGCTATTTATGCAGGCATATGCTTCAGAAATTTGCCGTAAAGAATATCAATCATTGGGAATGTCAATAGTAAGAGCCTTTGTCCCCTTGTGCTCATTTTAGATCTTACATTGTGATGCTTGATTTACAAAGAAAATAATTACATAGACTAGCACGGCATGGGGACTTGGATTAGTCATTGGTCCAGCTCTTGGAGGCTTTCTTGCACAGGTACTGTGCTTATACACGCATAAATATGTGTCATGCAATATTGAAGTTGTTTTCTATCTTTGGTATAATATTTCGCTGATTTTGAATCATAGCCTGCAGAGAAGTTTCCAAATGTGTTTTCCCAGGAATCTCTCTTTGGGAGGTGAGCAATGTGTTTTTTTTTTTTTTTTCCTCTCTCTTTTATAGACGTAATTATGTTCTTATGACATTTGGGGATGGGGCCATTCCTAGTTTCATATCCTTTTTACCTCACTTCTCATTTGTGCTTATTTTTTATTTATGTAAACAGGTTTCCCTACTTTTTACCCTGCTTGGTGATATCGATCTTTGCTCTGGTTGTAACTTTTATGTGCTTTTGGCTGCCAGTATGTTAACATATCCATTTTATAAAACTTTTATCATTTCACCAATACATCTCAAAAGTACTGCAGTTACCTTGTTCATATCAATTTCATTGTCAATATCCACTCACTCCGATTTGAGTTAATTAACATTGTTCCTCTTTCAAGTTAATTCATATCTGTTTCTCAACTTCCAATCACAGTCGTTCCTATTATGATTACATAAATCATACTATACTTAATATGCTAATTTGCTACAGGTAAATCCAAATATCAGAAGATCCATGACTTTAGTGCGTTATAAGCATGTTTTGCTACGCATACTTGTGTGTTGTGAAATAATAGCCTTTCTTGTTAGTTGACTTGTGTGACATTCTCCAAGGATGATTAGCTAGCCTGGTGAAATCTAAAAACGAAAGAATGAGTGTAGAATTCCTTTTTTGGCAACAAAGAGTGAATGTAGAAAACATGTAAAATAGTGTAAGGAGTCCTCCGAAAGCAACTTTGAAAAGAGAAGAGAAGAAATACGTACAGACTAGTAAAAACTTGCATATCATGCAAAAGTTAGATTTCCACGTGTTATGCACTATCTTTAGAGCGTGTTCCTAAAAGTGGTTAGCCTATATTTGGCTTTGGACATGTTATACTTTAAACATCTTATGTCTTTGCATTGTGTTATTGTGATATTTCCTGTCACGTACATGGTACTTTCCCAGTGTCAAAATAAGGATATGAAACTACTATCCTATTACAATACTTTCCATGTTTGTTATAATCGGTGGCCGCAGGAAACACTTCACTTTCATACTAAGAAGGATGAAGAGCATGAAGAATTTTGCAATTCATTCGAGACGATCACGTATGAGTCTGATCGGAAAACATTTTTGCAAGATTCTGAGGAAACCTGTCCAAGTTCTCAACAAAGTCTGCTTAAGAACTGGCCCCTAATGTCATCTATTATAGTATATTGTGTTTTCCAGCTTCATGACATGGCTTACTCAGAGGTAACAAAACTTTCTTTTATTTAACTTCATCAAATGTTTAGTATCTAGTAAGCTTCTTATTTTCCATTTCTTGGACAATCTTTTTCAGATTTTTCCATTATGGGCTGTCAGTCCTAGGAGTTATGGGGGATTAAGCTACTCAAGTTCAGATGTTGGTGAAGTTCTTGCAATTTCAGGTACATTCTAATCTAAAGTAGATACTAATCAAATCACTGTACTTCTGTTTGCAGTTGTTTTCCAAAATAATGTAAGATCAAACAAACGAAAGAATCTTAACAAACTAAAGACATCATGTCAACCTTCTATTGAAGGTCAGCCAAAATTGGAAAATGACGGTTTAAGTTACCTAGTCAGCGTGGATTGCTTTCTGATATTGTAATGATGCAACTGCAAGAAGGATCTGTCTTATGAAATGCACTTTTCTTTTATGTTTCCCGTCTAAGGTAGACATTCCTCTTCTTTCCCTTATCATTCAAAGTAGTTATCATTACTAGTTTGGCTTCAACAACTAATTTGAGGAATCCAGATGAGACGATTCCGTGAAAGTGTAAAGAAACATCAGAAAAGTAGCATGCACACATACATACATGTATTCTGTATATTAGCTTGATGTCTCAGATTTTTACTTTTACATTTTGTCTAACACACTTTAGTTTCCGTTACAAAAAGATAAAGAAAAAAGAAATAAATAGACAAATAAAATAATACTCCAAGTTCTCAAACAACATATTTACTAAGAAAACTTCATCCTATGTACGTACGCTAACATAGGATCAGTGTATATCTTCTTAATTCCAAACTATGATCTTCTTTAAAAAAATTCTAGGATTTGGCCTGCTGCTCTTTCAGTTACTCGGGTACCCACAGATGGAGAGGACTTTTGGGCCTGTCATGTTGTCTCGAATAGGAGCGGTATGTTTCTTCTCTTCATCTGTTAGCACTTTCTGCTGTCCAATTTTGTGAAGGAATATATTCTCAATTGTGTCCTTGGTTCCATCCATGTTAAGGTTGCTACAATAGCATTGCTGTCAAGTTATCCTTTTATAGCCATGCTATCGGGAGTCACCCTCACACTAATGATTAATTGTGCATCTCTTCTGAAGAACGTGCTATCGGTAAGTGCATTCCCGTATTAAAAACTTCTACTTTTCCTTCTCTGCCCATGGTCATAATGTTGGATTCATTACTCTTTCATGAGAGTGATTATCTATAACTCTGTCAGATTAAGTTCTTATTTTTTAAAAACAACTCTTGTTATCTTATATTAGAATATAGCACTGTTGTTTATAAATAGCTCAAGCTTTTGGGGTAACTAACATGGTATTAGAGCATGAGGTCTTGAGTTCAAACCGATGACTTGCACTCTCTAAAATTGTCATGTCTTGGTATGTAACTTCTGTAGACATGGTTTTAACACTCATTGTTTAAACATTATCAGGTTTCCATAACGACAGGATTGTTTCTCCTACAAAACAGAGCTGTGGTAATTCGTCTGTCTTACTTTCTATGTAATTAATTTTTTCCATAGTTTTTATTTTATTTTTCTTGGGTTCAATCCAACACTCGATCAACATTTGTAACATTGTTATTATCAATTGCATCTCCAATACCGATGTACAAAAGATGCAAAGGCAAAGAGGAGCTGCCAATGGCATAGCTATGTCTGCCATGTCACTATTCAAAGCAATTGGTCCAGCTGGTGGAGGTGCAATGTACGTATTATCCCAAATAAACTTGTTACTTTGCCCTTAATTTTCTTTTTATTTGAACATTTGCAGTGATCATGCAGTTTTTCAGTGGTTCTTTTGCATTTCCTTGATATGCTAAAAATTAATTTGGTCATCTACACGTGTAGAAAAAATCATATTGTACTGTCATTATAGAGCTGCATCCTTCATATTTCAGAAACTTAAATAATATTCTGTGCAGATTTTCTTGGGCTCAGAAGCGTCGAAATGCATCCTTTCTTCCTGGTATAGAAACTGTCACTCATTCTTTATTAACAAGGACCTATTTGATAATATATATATATATATATATATATATAGAGCTCTTTTCTGTTTGTTGTGCTCAGCTCACTGCATACATCAAAAGCTTCTCACTATAGTTATTTTAATATTCTGATATCTGTTCCCAGTTTCTTATTTTAATGATTTACTAGTTTTGTTTTTCTTTCCCCCCCTCCAAGTTATAGTTTATTTAAAACCAGCAAGGGACATTATAGATGTAACCTTGCCATGGAGACTAGAGCAAGAATTTGATATAATCAGGTGCAATTGAATTTGAAATGTAGAGAGTTGGTGTGAATTTATCAACTTCCACAGGACCAAAATTAATGTTTAAGATGCACCCAAACAAGAGGTTTGAATTGGTGAAAAAACATTTCCAGAATAAAAAGGAAAATAAAGGTAGAAAGCATAACTAGTTAAAAAATAATAATGACCATTGTAAAGACAGAAAATGAAATTGACTGTTGACAAAAAAACATCATTGGACCACAAAAAATTCTACTCAAACTTTACAAAGAACAAAAAGGGAGCATCAAACACCATATTCCTGTGAAAGTCAATTTCTTAAAGCTTAGGAAAGGTCTCTCTCTCTCTCTCTCTCTCTCTCTCTCTCTCTCTCTCTAATCCTTTTTAATTTTATGTTCTTAAATAGCATTTCTTAAAGACGGTCGGTCCTTCTAAAGCCTACTTGCATGTTCATACGATTCTCTTGGTTGGATGCAGGTGCTCATATGGTTTTCTTCATTCTAAATGTTGTTGAGGTTATTGCACTGATAATGACCTTCAAACCTTTTCTAGCTCTACCTGATGACAATATTTTGTAGCTCGCTTTCATTGGTTTACACTGTTGCAAATCATGGAAGGATATCTGATTTCCTTATGATTATTTGTTATTTTCCTTTATTTGTTTGTAGTTTAATTTTACAGCTTTAATTTTTTTTTTTTATTATTTGGAAGATTGCTAATATTAGTTTTTCCTTATTCAAATATCAGATTTGTAGGGGATTAGAGGAAGGCAGAAACTTCCTTAGGTTTATTTTCCTTGTATAAAGCAGTGTTCTGAGAGCTCTGTTTTCTCTGTGGTATGATATCAGAGCCGAATTAGGCTCCTTCGGATTATATATATATATATATATATATATTCTAGCTCTACCTGATGACAATATTTTGTAGCTCGCTTTCATTGGGTTACACTGTTGCAAATCATGGAAGGATATCTGATTTCCTTATGATTATTTGTTATTTTCCTTTATTTGTTTGTAGTTTAATTTTACAGCTTTAATTTTTTATTTTTATTATTTGGAAGATTGCTAATATTAGTTTTTCCTTATTCAAATATCAGATTTGTAGGGGATTAGACTGGAAGCCAGAAACTTCCTTAGGTTTATTTTCCTTGTATATTAATTAGTTATCTTAATATTAAGATAGTTAATATAATATATATATATATATTTTTTTTTTTTTTCGGCCTTAATCGTTGAATACCTCTTCTAGGGTTCTTTTGTTGTCCTGTCCTATTCTTGGGTTACAGCAGTACCCATTTTCCTCTGTTTTTTGAGAATATTTTTTTAGGGGTGTTCACGGATCCGGTTATGCGGATTAGGGGTTAATATTCAATCCAATTCGTTAAGACAGATTAGAAAAAATTTCAATCTGTTACCGATCCGTGAGACCCACAATCCAATTCAATCCAATCTGCAAAATGTAGATTTGCGGATTGACCTATGTTTTTATTATTCTCAAAAAGTTAAATAAAAAATTAAACACAAACATAGCATAACATAAAATTTAAATAGTTTCACAAATTTGTGACTAGAATTAAGGGTATAAATCGTAATTCATATTTATTATTAGGATTGAGATGCCAATATGGTGGGGGGTAGGAGAGTGTCAATTTCATTCCTCAACCCTAAATTAGTGTGGGACTCACACATTCTCACTCCTATTCTAAGATAAAAATGGGTAGTAAACATGGGGTTGATACCGTTCTCAATTCTCATTCCCCACTCTTGGTAAGTAAACATGCCATAAAAGAATTTTGGTTCAAGTTCTAACAATTAGTTCTTTTCCTATAAAAAGTCTAATCTCTCAAGGTAATCAAGAAGTTCCCAAGGAAGAGGAGCTTTCATCTTGGACCACTTTTAGGTATAAAAGTTAAAAACTTTTTGAAGAAAAGTTTAGTTTTGGTGCTTTTAAGTAGTAAAAATAAAATCTTTTGTGGTGATTTGTTAAGATTTGCTAAGTTCATGTTTCTATGGTCTTATTTAGTATATGGTGAATGTTATGTTAAGGTTAGAAAGTAAGATTGGATGAAAAACAACTAGACCTAGTCGAGCTTCTTGAGATGATAAAAAAAAAAATGCAAACTTTAAGGACTTTGGCATGAAAATCTTTTAATTAGCATGATTCTTGGATGTTTAAAGCTTGTTTTAGCTTCTTGAGATGATAAAAAATTTATGTCTATGCTTGAGTTATGTTTGCTCTAAGTTTATGTTCAAATATGGCATGTTATGTGGTTTTTTTCTTAAAAATTAGTAAAAATTGATTGCACTCAAAAATCACAAAACTGTGTATGTTGAAAATATGTATTAAGAAAACATTTTAACAGTAATTTGATGTTTAGGGAACTCCAAGAAAATTGACTAAAATGGCTAAGAGGACTAAAATGAAAAGATTTGGCTATTTTGGGTCAAAAACGCAAAAATGAAAAATGTACTGGATGAATTTTTCAAAACTGCTTCAATGGCAGATCCATGGCTGTATAACAGACTTGGTGTCAGATTTTAGCGGAAAAATAACGCAATTTGGTTTATAAACATTGAAAGCTATTTTTAAGGGCAAAATAGTTGAAAAATGAGGAAAAAATGGAAGTTTTATTTTCTGCAGTACTTTGACAGTTTATAATGGCTGGAAACAGTTTTAAAAAAACATACAACATGCTGGAAATGGATTTTTAACATTGGAAATGAACGAAAAATTCAGTAAAGGACTAAAACGTGAAAAATTGTCAAAACCGAGTCAATTTTGCAAAGTTTGAAAAATTGCAGTATTGCAGCATTTTTATAGCACTCTGGACAGCATGAAGGGAGTTTAAAAACCCTGTAAAAAATCCAGTTTCAAAACTGTGGCTAAGTGGCTTAATTTCAAAATTGCAATAGGGATTAAAATAAAGTAAATTCGTAAATTGGTGTTTTGTGCAAACACTTTTAAAGGTGATTTTAAATTTGTTACTGTATTTTAAAATGTAAAATGAGGTTTTAGACAATTTTAGGACCCGATCAATGCAACGAAAAATCATGAAATTAAGCTGAAGGCAAAATAGTGAAGTTACTCGTTAACCAGTTTTACGTTAAGTAATAAGAGGAAATTAAAATTTTTAATAAGATAATAATAATAATAATAATAATAATAATAATAATAATAATAATAATAATAATAATAATAATAATAATAATAATAATAATAATAATCCAATTAGTATGGGTAAGCTGATAAGAAACTCCGTAAGACACAATAATTGGATTAACTATTAACACAAAAATTAAGAATAATTAATTTGAGAAAATTAATTATTAAATTATAAAAATAATACTAAAAATTTGATAAGTTATGAACGAGTCTAAAATTAATTAAAAATTTTGTCTGTTGACAAACCTTGCAATTTACTATTGATAGTCAGATCTTAAATCCAATTAGGACACAATATTGACTGAAATAGCATGCGAGGGTAAACTTAGGATAACGCTTGCGGGGAATCTAAGTAAGTACAAACCTTACCTACAACATTGAACTTGTTTGTTCTTGTATGAATCTATGTTGTGTTATGTTATGTTTGTCAACTTGATTTATTTTAATATGTAATAATTGCTATTTTTGACATCATGCAAGCATGTTCACCAAGTAAACAAGAGGCTAATGAAATTTAACTAAGTGTCGTACCGACCTCTACTAGGTGAGGATTTTATGAAACAATACAATTATGACCTTGGATGCAGTCAGAGGGTACTTTCTTGACTCCCTATTGGTCGCGCACACCCGGTACGAACGCAGGGCCCATAAAATCTAAATATCATAATTGGAAATTCATAACTGGTCATGCATTTTATTTTAATGCATCGTGAGGCTATAGTTTATGCTTACTGCGCTTTAGCTCACCATGTTCGTGTCAATGTTGTAGGTAATACGGGTAAGAAACCCGCTACCTAATGCACTTTGATGGATTGACGGAAGTGGCACAAGATGATGGAGGCCCGGGTTTAGGATGTTGCTCTACAAGTTTATAATTTCCGCAGCCACAAATATTTTGTTATGTCACGACCCTAAAGATGAGACCGTGATTATTGGGATTTAATTTAAAATTTAACTTAATTAAATTGGATTGTTTAACAAAAATCACAAAAATAAATACATAAATATCAATATAGTTTGCTCCGGAGATTTTTTTTTACAAATAATATTTAAAGCAGTCCATAAAGTCTAAGGAGAATAGTACAACTCAGGGATAATGTCGACCAATATAGTTTATATACAGAATTACAATACATCTCAGAATTAAAACTGTATATCCGAAACAAACGTACCGCTTCAAATTTCACGCGTTCAATCCATTGACATCCACTTGTCACGTTATAAATCTAAACCGCTAACTCTGGAGGGAGTTTAAAACATTGAAAACATAATAGTAAAAGTGAGCGGAAGGCCCAATATGATACAATTTTATAAAACATTGTAAATAAAGGTATTCACGGTCTGAAGACACACCCGGAACCGATCATCCTTTTTAGAAAAAAGAAAATACTCACGTAGTAGTAGAAAAATATCTGTATAATAAAAATATGTAGAGCCATAACACCACTGAGCAAGAAGTGGATCCGTACGAGTTTCGGAACCTGTCCCCAAGGATACGATTCTCATATCCCCATCTCTGTGGCTACCATGCGTTATGTCATTTCTTAAAATATTACATTTTAAAAAATGATACTCTTTCAAGCCTCATTTCCAAAATCATTGGAAACTCAATAACATTATTCATGTTATTCCCTTAAAATCATTTACTTTAAATATGTTTTGTTCTAAAACATTTTCATTGGCCAAAATTATTTAAAGTAAGGCTAATAAGGATATGGACAAGAATATCCTATCTCTTAGCAATTTATTCAACGGATAACTTCACGCTGTCCAACCGTCTATTCTTGAAGCTCTATGACTCCCTCTAAACCTCAACGAATCCATTTGATTCGCCTCAATCTACGTGCACTTTACATAGACTTTTCAACGGAGTGAAATTGGCACAAACGGAGGTCACCGTTCTGTTCAGCACGTCAAAATGAGTCGGGATATTGTATTAGATCTTCGATCGAACGTCGGGAACCTCAAGAACTAAGACTTGCCGGAATCAGGCCACCGGCGGCGGCGGGGATTGCCGGAGCATAGTTCCACGACAAACTTGGGTCCTACCCCCCTAAATTGACCGATCTAAGTTCAATGGTGCAGTCAATTTCACCAAATTCGGCCTCTATCTACTCCAATCAAACCCAAAAACGCCGGCAAAATCCGGCTACTTGGTTCTCAATTCTCCGGCAATGGAACCTCAAAATTGGCTGAGGGATTTTGTTATCAACTTCCTTCTGAGTGTTTTGACACCTGAGGGATTTTGTTACCCACTTCCTTCTGAGTGTTTTGACACCAAAATCATGACAATCCAATGGTTGGATCATCGGAACCACCCTCCACCCAAACGGCGGTGGCGGCGAGCTCAGATCTTCGGCAAACGGTGGCAGATTCGGGCGGTGGAGGGTTGCTTCTTGCTCTATGGCGTCCTCTGAGTCCAATGGCACCGGCGATGTCAAAAATGGAGGCTAGAACAGTGCACAACTGAGAGGAGGCGCGGTGACCGAATGGGCGGCTCCAGCGACGGCGCTCCGGTGAGAATCGACGAGTGAGATGGCATGGATTTTGTTCATCTCGTCGAGCTGAGTCCATAGGGACCGGAGTCACTTGGATCGGAGGTTGGAGGGCAAAGTTACGATGGTGAGAAGTTTCGGTAGTTTTCTGACATTTCGCCA